CAGCTTTCTCACCGACTCTATGACTGAAAATTGCACTTATTGTAATTTTTCTTCTCTCCTGTCCTTGAGAGATCCAGCAATATGATTTTATCCATTATGTGGCTTTCTTACTTGACATTCCTTTGTCATTGCCAGGCACAAAGAACTGAAAAAGGCTGAGATATATGGGAAAGGAGAGGCCAGGATTGTTCCACATAGATCACAAAGCAGATGTGCCAGGGAAGGTCTGGTCTGTAACGCTGCATTAAAGGCAATTGCATTGCTTGTCTCTTTAAATGCTAAAGAATAACACTCATGCTCACAGCTTATTCATTTGTTAAACTATCATATCCATAGAAGCAAGGCAACATTTAACATTTTTTTGTACTCATGCTGGCTATTGTGATTGAAAACCCCCACCCCAGATTTTACTGGGTTTCTGCTAGTGAGTGGCATGCTTGTGTGATAAACTGTTTTCATGTATTAAATATAATGTCTGTCTAGGTACTAATTTTATTTTCCTGTTTAATTTATTCTCCAGATTCTCTGGCCTTCAGTCAATGCACTGGCTGATTAAATTATTATCCCAATAATGAGATTTGACACAATCTGTGCCAGTTACCTGTGTGACCTGCTAAGTAGGTTAATTGGCAACCCTGAATAATTATCAGCCACCTCATCTTGCTGATTGAGAGTGTGCCAATAAATGAAACATAAAAATGCTGAAAAAGACACATAGTTTTTAATTTCAACTTCTGAATTTTTTTCAAAGAAACATTTTAGCTATTAGCTTATTAATAAGATACAGCAATTTAAAAAATACCTCATGAACATACTGGTTTTATTAGTATAGTTTGCTCTTGTGCATCATCACAACTTCCTTGGAGAAAAAAGACTCAGTGACATATTAGATAAACAGGTCCTTCTATACTGCAAATTGCTTGTATAAGTGAATAGTTGCATCCTCAGAGAGCCAGCTCAAAAGTGAGGAAAATTCAAGAACTCAAAGTGATATTTGTGGTGACATTGCAAGACTTATGTTTTAATGCCTTTCTGTGAAACCTTGAGAACTAGAAATTAACTTTATTGTTCAGTGAAAGCTGTGATTTTTCTATTCCCATTTCTCAGGAAACAAAGTTAAGAAAAATAAATATGGTGCCTAGTGACTCTGACATGTATTGGGTGTATCTAATCTTTTCTACTTTGTTCATTTCTGAAAAGGCAGTATGGTATTTTTTCTACCCTAGAAAATGTAAGATTGGAACTCAGAGAGGAAGAATGGACTGCTAGAGATGACAAGATGGGGGGAAAATATGTGAGATTTAAACCTGTGGTCTTTTCACAAGGTAATGAGCCCACATTAGTGGTTCAGAACCATGGACTTAATCAGATTTCTTCTAGAATCATTCCTCTGCCCTGGCCAGAAATCCCACCAAAACTCGGGGTAGAAAGAAAAATCAAAGAATCCATTTCTTGTTATCAGCAGTTAATGACTGCAACATAAAGGGTGTTCACAGAGGCACTTTGGAGACCCCCACTTGTGCTCTGCCCTGTCCTTGGGCACGTTTGTGGCACAGCTGGTGGTCCTGGGCTGGTCCTTCTCCACTGTGACCCTGCAGCCTGTGAGCACAGGAACCACTGATGGAACCACACAAATAAGTATTAAGTGCAGAGTAATTTTGGCCCAGTTAAATCTAATTATCAAGTGCCATCTCTTATAACATTTTAGCACAGTCTTCCAGCAATTAAAGGCTTGCACAGTCCTCTGATCCACCCCCTCTGGTTGCCACTGACATTCTTCTACTTCAGCCTCTGTGTGTGTTTCCATGTTTAAGCTCATGCCATAATGGAAAGCAGAGTGTGCACTTTTCTGTGTGCAGAAGTGGGTCCTTCAAGATACCCAATCCAAAGCCACTCAGTCTTTCAGTTTATTGCCTTATGGGCTTTCAGGTGGGCTGATATAGTTCAAGAGAGAATTCTGATGAAATCACTTAAACCTGAGCCTGAGCAAGTCAGCAGAGCTCAGATGTTGAGCGAGTGACTCACATATTAACACCAAACATATGCTCAAGCCTTTTTCTGGATCATGGCCATATTGAACTATAATGACCTAAATGGATTTACTCCCCAGACAAATTCACCCTTCACTTTCCTCCCACCCACACATACATTTGCACCTCAATCAACCACTTATGTCTCCTTCTATTTCCTATATCCTACTTTTATTAAAAACTTTATGGCTTGTTTAATCTCTTCTAAGCATGGCTTTATTTCCTCTCTTGGTTTCCTCTATGATTCATCATCAGGGCTTTTTTTGCCCCTACCTAAAGGTTTTCAATTTCTCTGCACAAATTTAATAAAAGCAAAATTGTTAAGGCTTATTAAAGAAGCTGTCCTGTCTTTTTGTGCTCCTTCATCTCACTCCCCTCCTTCCCCATAAAAAGATGAAGAAGGTGTTGAAGTTACACATCAGGTGAAACTACTGTCTACAAATGGAAAAAATAATATCTTTCAGCTCTCTTCCTGTGGATTTTTTTTTCCTGGGATGTGGTCTTGATGTCTAAAATTATAGGCATTTAGATGTCAGGCAGCAGAAGAGAAAAAAATATTAAAAAAAAAGGAGGCATTGTGGCAAAATATCAAAGAACTGATGTGTTGGTGGTAGTTATAAGGTCTTTTATTCCTCAAGAATAGCGCAGCTTTATGAAGTTTTTATCATACCTGATAGAAAATTAAGGGCTGCTGATATTTTGCAGCTCATTACTCATTGCTTGTTGATTACATAAGTGGTTTTGAATGAGGGAGCACTGTAAGGTCCTGTGAGAAGCTAAGCTGACATGACTTCTGTCTTTCCTTTTTATTACGACAGTCAATAGCTCAGTTGTAAGGAACAGAATTGCTCTTTGTGACATTCTTTTGGGAGAGCTAGCTAAAATTTGAGAGCAGAAAAGCATTTCTGGGAAAAAAAACAACCCAGCATGCCAGACAAATCAATAAGTGGACGGAGCCGAGTCTGAGACTTTTGGGTTGGGTTAAAACCTAAATCAAGATAGTATTGACTCTGCAAAGCCTGTATTTTTGGGGGTGGGTATATCAGAATCAATAGTGCCCTCTTGCTTTATTGGAAAACTTCTATGTATCTGTGCAAGCAAATCCATTCTACAATTGTATTTATTTTCTTGAGCTAAAGTTTTCTATTTGGTGTGTGTGACCTGTGTGTTGTGGCTCTATGGAAATAACAAAATGTGGATTGTGTGTGGTATCTGTCACCAGCGTTCTCTACTGATGACATTTGTAAAGGAAATGAAATATTCTTTGACGAATAAATTATGTACAACTCATATATGTAAGTTCTCTACCACCTGCTCACCATTACCTCAGAAATAATTATTTTATTTTCTGGGAAAAAGATACAGGCATACATTGATCATCAGGATGTGAAAGCATAAACTGTGGGCTTCAATGATCTAATGCTTTGCATCTATGAAGTTTCCCATCCAAGATCTTCTTATTGTATCCAATATATCCAACATTACATTACTTAAATGTATCACATCTTTGTGAAAGCTAGATGTTTGTAGTCCCATTTTGCAGATAAAGCTGCAAGGACAGTGCAAATTTTGCCTGTTTGTGCTCTAAGTTAGACAAGACTCTTGTGATCCTACACTTGGGCAAAAGCATTTGGGCTGATCCTGACTGTTAGGAAAGCTCAGCTGGGCTTAGAAGTTTAAATTGAGTTATGTTGCTCTTGTTCAGAACTGGTTTGTGTTGGCCACCTCAGAGTGCACCCAGGGAAAGCCTGTCTCTTTGTTCACCTGGCTGTATAGACTTGCCTTAAATAAATCTGAAAATGAGACTTAGGTATCTTTGAACATTTAGAATGGAGTTGATCCAGTATTAGCTTGCTATAAAGCCACTGAAAAATGTTAACCTAATCTCCACAGTTAAACCATCAAGCACACCATAACCAGACCCCTGTCTTCTGCAGGTTTTAGAAATAAAAAGCATTGCTAAAATTTTAATTAACTGTTTTGTAGAGCAAACCCACTGCATTCCCAGTGAGCTCATTATGGTAGAAAAATGAATCTATCACAGTTAACATTTCCTAACTCCTAATGCCTCTGACTTTTGCTTGTGTTACTAGTCTTCCCTTATCTGCCTCATAAGTACTCTGAGTGTGGTACTTATGAAATAATATCCAGGTATGGTATTTAATCTCTTAGCAGGAAAGAAAAAAACACAATGCACTTACTCAGCAATTCCTTCTGAATAATGGTCTGGATTTTCTCCTGGATACAACCAAGTTATTACTTCAGCAGAACTGCCTGCAGTGCCAACACACACACAGATGAAGTCATAATAACAGTTCATTTTACACATACATATGCCCATCCTCGAAATGGTGTTCCTAAGAATAGAGCTTAGAAAACCTTCTTGATAACATGAGTATGAAAGAGGGTTTTGTGCAATCGATATACACGTTCTGCTTGGTGCTTGGTATTGATTGCATCTGCTTCTACAGGATGTAAAATAAGTGTGTTAAATGCTAGAACTGTGGTTCCAATAAAATAAAAATTCTGAATTATTAGCTGTATTTTCCATTATGTTTTTGTTACATTTAACGTCTCGGAGTTCATATTAAAATTCTTCCTGAGTCAGAAGAAATAAATTTAGTCTTCTGGGTGAAACAATCCCCACAGAGCTGAGGAAGTTCAAGCTTTAAATTTGTCTGTATTGTAACTATGGTTCACTGCAGAATGACAAAAAGTTTAAGAAATTATAGGTGTAATATATGAATGCTTGAGGGACTGGAGATTCAAAAATGTGTGGTTTTAATTACAGTTTAGGTAAATTGTAAAGGTAGGAGAAAATTAAATGGTTTATAGCTAAATAATAATGATATTCGATAATGAAGCGTTCTTTGCAGGTAGAGATTGGAAATGTAATGACCACATCTTTTTCTGATGGATTTCTTTAAAAACCTTTCTGAGACGATGTCATATCATGGTGTGTTTCCACAGGGTACTGAAAGTGCAGGAACTCTCTTCATAAAGGAAAACCTGCATGGGCACTCACCCTGGTTTCCCTACAGCTTTTCCCTAAGACTAAAATTTGCTTAAGGAAAGTTTCAATAAGAAGGCAGATTCGATGGCTGAGTCCCACAGAGCAAGGGGCTGGGAAGAAAGAGCTCTTCAGCTTCTTCTGCACCACACTGGACACCAGTTACTGCCCCTGTGCCATGTCTGCATTTTGTGGGGTCATTTATGAGGCAGATCAATGGATTGATCCCTGCTAAGAGTAACCAGTCAGGAAGATCAATTAACACACTGAAAGTAAGTAATTTCATAAAATAAATCAATTTGCACCACCAAAAGAACTATTAAAAACTGATGGGCAATCTCACCCTTTGGGCTTGAAAAGAATAGACCTGTTCTGATACAAAACAGCAATGATTTCATTAAGTAACAACAATCAATTGCTAACTTTTTTTTACAGTTTAGGAATCCTTTTTGTTCCTGAGAATACAAAAGAAGCCCAATAGCTGGTGAAGTACCTTTACTGTGCTTTGCATATATGTAAACTGTCTGGACTGAGTAGGGCACTGTCCAGCTTTATGTAACAATTGCTGAGAGTAGAAAATAGCTGTAATCCTAATAACACCTTTTGACTACAATTGATTTCTTTTTGTGAGGTCTTCATGACCAATGAAGAGCAAATTACTGGTACATGTAACAACCTGAGAAGCAAATAAGTCCCATTAAAATATTTTGCTGCTGTTCATAAACCAGTGCTTCCCAGAAATCCATGCCTGTCAAATAAATAACTTTTTGTTTCTCATGAAATACAGAGAATGCAGGTTACTATGGTGATCAACAGAACACAGAATAAACTCTGATTCATCATAACTGCCACATGCTAGAGGAAAAAAAAAACCGAACATCATCTTGCGGTTTTGAGCTGGATCTCTGAAAAATATTTTGAGAAAACAAAACAACTCTATGATGTCCAAACACCACTGGGCGAAGTATCACAAAAATGAAGAGTTGCAGTAGTATGCCACTTCAAATAAAAATGTTTCAAGTCTGAAACATTTTAAAAGTCATGATCACAAACCTTAGTTTTTTTAGTATAATCAATGAAACATATAGAACTGTGAGGGGAATGCTTTAGGCCACATGGTTGTGCATCTTCATCTGGGTCAGGGACACCCTGGCCTTTGTCTGTCATGTACTTTCAGTGCTCAGTTGTTAAATCCTCCTTGTTTTATATTCAAAGGGCTGAATCATTGACACTGGGCAGCCACTGATCAGGGACAGCTTTGATGCCAGTTTTGGAGGCTTCACTCTTTTGATAAATATGACTCCCATGTTTTTAGTTGCATTTATTTGCACTCTCTGTTGACTTTTCACTATCGAGAAAGTCATGAAGTAGCATTTACATCTGTTTTCTCAGTAATTTATCTAATATTTGTAATCAGCACACTAGTTTTTCAAATGCATGCAGTGAATTCCACAGCACAAAATGCAATGCTATAGTTATTTCTAGTAATCCCCAAGTTTAGTTTACAGTAATGAAACACAACTTTGATTAATGCAGTTTTATCACAGTGCAAGTCAGACCTTTCTGTTGGTCTTCACAGTGACATTGAAATGGTTTAGAAGCAAGGAAGGCAGTCTAGAGCTAACACAGCTGCCTGGACCTAGAAAACAGCCACTTGCTGCCTGGTTTTAGATTGTATGCCATTTGTTTTTACATATTTCAGCTTCTAGCCTCAGCACTACATCAGATCTACAAAACATCCACATGAATTAAAACAGAAAGATCCCCTAGTAGCTTGTATGCTGACCTTCAGAACTCAACTCTGCCAGGTCACCAAAGTCTCCATTCACATTCATTAAGACCTGAAGAGCAGAATTGAGATGAATGTCTGCTTTTTCCTGCTCTATCCATTCCTGCTCTATCTACTAAGTAACCTGCTACCCTGATATGCTTTCGAAAGGGATAATAACCTACTTTTGAATTGCAAGGCTGCACGAGGGACTTGGTGAAAGTGATTAAAAAAATTCTGGTCCGTTGTAAGATGCTTCTAACTACTGCCCACTCTGGAGGTTTGAAGCCCTACACAGTTATTATCCAGCTGGTGTCTTTGTACCAGTTTTATCTCTAGTCCCAAGCCTTCTCTCCCCAGACATTCCTGGTAGTGAATTTAAGTCACACAAACCCTGTGCAGCATGAAAGTCGTCCGCAGCCTCCACGGTTCAAAAGGACGTGCCTGTGGGTTCACAATTATACCAAGTCTTTCCATCAAAAGGATTGAAAGCAGGAGATTCAAAGGCTGGTAAAATCCAGGGCCCATGGCTTTCATCATTTGATGATGTTACAGAGGATGTTTTCTTCCCAGCCGAATCATGCTCACCCCTCCCCCTTCTCAGATGGGGTAGCTCCCCTTTGATACCCCTGAGAGAACTGCAGACTCTTGCTGACATGGTGTGCTTTCCATATATTTGAGGTGAGGAGGGGAAGGGAGAGAGGGAGACAGAGGAGTAGAAATAATATCTTTCATATTTCATATTATTGGCAGCCTTTTCTGAATTTCTGAAGGACTTCAGAACTCAGTAAGAATTAAGATGGTTTTTTTTTTCTTAGAGACATGCTGTAATTCAAACAAAAATCAGATCGACAAAAACATCTGATTTATGCCTTAGATCAGACTTTATAATGTAGATGTATAATCTAGATTATAAAGTCAGCCTGGTCACTCAGAAGGTAACAAGCATCCTTGTTATTCTTCACGTGTGCATTACAAAGTAGCTCTTATTTCCCACCCCTTGACTAATCGGTGTCACTCTGGTGTCATTCTTCTAACCCATCACTTCTCCCTAGCATGAGTGCCTTTTGTCTTTAAAATGTCAGATTAAATATCATCAGCATTTGCAATCTTCTGGATAGAACGTTTAAAATTAAAATGGTTGGGGTCAATATATATAGACACTAAAATGGAACTTATTCAGTAAAAATCTATATGGATGGACAATTACTGCAGTACCAGCTCTTCTCTAACCCAAATGTCATTCAACATTATGGCCTGGCTGGAATGACTGAATCACAACTGAGCCATGAATTCTAAAAGCACCAGCCATTTCAATTGCACCTTTCTTAAAAAATAAAAAAATCTCCAAAACTTAGTTGCTCACTAACCTCTTTTAATAAAGGGCACTGTATTTTATGTGTATGACTAATATCTCTGTATGCTTAATAAATTCTGTGACAGCTGCATAATCATTCCCAGTAACTGTGGGTTTTGAATGGAAGAAGCAACTGGATAATGGAGATCTGAAGAAGCACTGAGGTTAAATCTCCTCTTGTGGTTCATGAGCAGCAGCCTTTTATGGGATGAGTATGCCCCAAACTCGTGTAGATACAAATGCCTGTGTCATGCTGTGCCTCCCTAAGCAATATTCTGCATAAATATTTATGCCTTTCTAATTTTACCTGGTATGATCATGGAAAGCAAGTGTAGTGAGTATATGCACATACCCACAAATTACTCAGTTTTCATCTCAGAAAACTATTTAGTAATTTTTCCCATGTTAGTCCAATATTAGTAGAAGTTCAAGTAATCAACAACTGTCACGTTTACCAAATTATAGGCAGAATACACACTTAAAACCCTGGATTAAATTTTAAATCCAGTTCTTAGTTTTGCTGCTGTTTTGTTCTCTGTGAATTTGACCAAGAGATTTGTTCTTCCAACTCCACTGCTCTGCACAGATATGAGATTTCCCAGCTGGACAGGCAGCAGAGACTACACACATGAATGACAGGAAGGCAATCAGGCACAATGGGAAGTCAGGTGAGCGGGCCATTAGCAAAAATCTGGCTCAGTTTGACCACACTGTCTTCAGGGGCTGCTGCTATTAATTTTTCTCCTAAATTATGTTCCCCAGTATAAATTATAGGGGAAGAAAATCATAAAGAATACTACTAAAGAGCATTTGATGAGGCAAGTTGGTACCCTTGTGAGAGATTTCAATAAAAGTGATTTTATTGAAAATAAAACCAAGGATAAGCTTCAAAGCAAAGGCTGTGCACACTGTTTCGGGTGGAGAAGCCGACACTTTTTGGAAAGAACAAAAATCTACCAGCTGCTGAGACTTGAGCTCGAGGTGGGTTTGCTATGAATGAAGATAAAGGCAGAAACACCAAAGTTTTTAAGCAAACCCTCTCAGCCTTTGTAACTTTCCGTGTCAAAGCTGGTACTTACACAGGTCCAGGATGAAAATGTTTTAACAATGACTTTCCATTCAGGAACTGCGGCTTAAAAGTCACACCGAGATAACTGTGAAGATAAAATGCAGATGCTGGTGCATGAGACTGTGGGGTTTAGCTGTTCTACCCAGAGTGCTGGATGTGCTCAGCATCACACTGCCCTTGGGCAAGGATGGGAAGTACCTGTTCTTGCAGTGCCCTGGCTCTCCAGGCCAGCAGAGAGTGTTTGCTTCTCCTCTTTTTCCTTCTGACATACAAATAGCTGTTGTTATATTTCACATTATTTTGACCAAGAATGAAATTAATTCTCTAAAACGCAATTAAACGCAATTAGAGATAAATGTTATCAAAAATCCTATTAAAAATGGTGGAAGCTCCAATTTTACATTGCCAATTTTAGAATGATTAAATAAAAAAAGGTGAGGAATCTGCACCCAATGAAATTACATTTAAACGGTGTAACTAATAATATTCCTATTAAGCTTTAAACATTAATTCACTGAGGATGAATTTCACCCTGAGTAAAACATTCCACAATGGTGGTATTTTATATTAAACTCCAGTGAATACCTTCTTCCTGCTTTGTAACAACTGGTGTTGGTGCAGAAGAAGGGAAGAAAAAAAAGTAACAGACGTTTTCTTGAGTGATCTGTCTATATGGAGAGCTGCATTTCATTATTTGGAAACTCATTTATTACTGGGCTTCTATAACACTTCTGATAGGATTGTAGGGAACATTCCAATAAATACTCTATTGCTCTTGAAGCAGGAAATAATTAGCTTTCAGTTTGCTTCAGTTCTGACCAAAATAAAGTAAACCAGTCCTGGTAGGAGAGCCTGAATTTCTGCTTCCAAACACCATTATATGCTTAACAAAAACTTTAAAAAAAAAAGAGAGGTGGATGGGCTTAAATCTCGAGAGCTCCTCAAACTGTGCAGTTCATTGTTTTCCCACATTCCTTGTTAAATACCTCGGAAGTCATCCCTGAGCAGCACAAAAGTGCCAGTTCTGTTGCCTCCTGCCTAAAAGCAAAGGCAAGTCTTAGACTGTGGGTCTCAAACTGGTTTCAGCCTTGCTCTGCTTCTCTCCTAGGCAAGAGAGTAGAATTATATCCAGGATTATTTTTAATTAAGATTGCACAGGAGGTGATTGATCTATAATAAAGATTATGAATTGTGTGATATCAAGGAAAGTAATCTATATGAAGATGTCCATTTTATATTCAATTGTCACATATCTGTCACTTATTTATCCAGTCCTGTAAGATAGACAAGAGCCTACATTAAAGTGCAAATCCATATAAAAGAAGAGAGAGTCAATAACTATCAATAGTGTCACTGTCATTAATCAGAAAAATGGCAATTTTTTAAAAAAAAATTCCTACTGGTTTTGACATATTTTCCATTTGATAAGGAAGTAAAGAAGTTCCAAACCAAGTCCAAACCAACATATTTCCTAAGAGTTGCTTTTCTTCCATACCTGTCTTGGTTTTACGATGTGCTGTATCATCTCAGGACAGCTGGGTTGCAGCAGTGCAGTTCCACAGCCCCGTGCTGGATCAGTCTGGTGTGTGGCACACACTTGGCTGTAGCTCATCCCTGTGACATTCTGACTCAGCCCCACAGGATTTAGTGCTTCGAGAACCCTGTTGGAGAAGGGATATTTATGCCCAGAGGAGAGGGAGAGTTGTAGATGAGAAGATTTCTAATGCATGGCTTTCACCCACAACCCCAATCCATTTGGATTTAGTGTCCCCGTGTGGAAATGTTCTGGTGAAGGCATCTCCTTTCCCCTGAGGGCAAATGAATGTGTTATAACAGTGCTGGAATTAATCTGAGCAGATAGAAGGTCAGGAGGGAGGTCTTTACTACAGAAGGGAAATATGATTATACTCATTGGACAAGTCCTTTGATTTGTTCACAGTACCTGTGGGAGGTCCCTGATGCCAGGATCCTTCAGGGGTCTTCGTCTCAGCAATGTCGCTTAGATGACAAGGCAGCTTGGAAGTAACAATTGCTCTTTTGACCAAAGCATTCACCCACACATTCAGGATTTTGCAGGGCAAATAATAAATAAATCTGCTAACTAGTCTTTTTACTTCGCTAGGACTTCTAAATTTAATCGCTCTGACCCCAGACTATCCTGAGCAGTCTTTGCATGGCTGGCAGTACAGAAGGAATGGATTTGCCATAGGTTAGTAGTTAAGGTTTTGTTTCTCATCAAGAAAACTCAATTTTTGCAGAGGTATGCCTCTTCCCAGACAGGAAAAATGCTGGGCATTCTGAAAAGCAGCCTGACTTTAGCTTGAACTGAGAGGTCTCAAAAGAGCAGCAGTGCCAAGGGTTGGCTGTAAATAGCTGCAGAAATCTTTACACCTGGCAGTGGCACTTGGTTGAAAATGCCACCTTCCAATTTTTTTTTTTCCAGTTCTCACTTAATTTCCTCTGAAAACTCAGTGCAGATGTACTTAACCTAGTGTATAGAGCTGAGATCATGAAATTAATGAGAGATCATGCATTCTGGGTAAAAGAAAATTGTGCATTAGAAACTCTCATGCTAATGAGGTTTTAAGGGTCTTTCCCTATTGTTCCCCTTCCCAGGAATTTCTAAGCATCCTACCATGGCTCCTCTTTTTCAGGCTGCCAAGCTGCTGCCAAGGCTTGGACATGTCCAAGAGGGTTGGTCTCTGTTTGGGTCCCTCCAGCTTGGGGGCAGTGCTCCCTCTGCTCTGCCCTTTCTTTTCCTCTGGACTTCCAGAGAAGGAGTTGTAGTGGCAACAGCTGTTTCTTCCATGGCTCATCCATACACAGGGAATGCAAGGAGCCAGGTGCCAGTGTTTCCATGGGATTTAGTGTTCATGTGCAAGGAAGATTCCCCTTTGTAGCAAAACCACTGGCAGAATGGAAGAGTGAGGTAGGATTAGTATTCTTGACCTGCACTTGTGTAGAGATGGAATAATTCTTTATAAAATAGAAAGGATGGGATTTAGTGGACAGTTGAGGGTATATCTTAATTAATCTCTTTGCCAATTAAAAGATGGAAGTTCTAATTAAGGTGACCTCAAAGCAATTATTCAGACTTGTATATTTACATTAATTAGACTACCAAAGCATTAAGAGTAAGATTATGACTTTGCAGATGGCACAAAGTCGATTTTCCATGTTGAAGTACCTCACTACCTAATTTGTAATGAGGGAAGATATCACAATTGCACCATTTCTACTACACAATTATTTTGTCTCCCAGGATTTCAGGTCTAAAATAAAATTAAGAGGAGGATGCTTGTGTTGAGGATTTAGGTCACAGCTTCCTTTCTGATGATGGGGAGATTGATGCTGAAATATTTATTTGTCACATGCAGTGGAAGTCTTCTCACAGGAGACAACTGCTTCTTTTCACTCCCACTTAAGTATTCACCAAAGTAACACCTAATCAAGTATGATATCACTACTTCTATTTAGCACATGCATTTGGGCTTTATTCTTTTCTAGGGGAAATCTAATCTACTCATAAAATACTTAATTACCATGATGATTAAGCAGTGGATGTTAAGACCATAAATAATGTTAAAAAACCCAAACCAAAAAACAAAAAACAAAAGAAAAAACGAAACCCAAAAACAAACCACAAAAAGCCACAAAACAAACAAACAAACAAACAAACCCAAAAATCATGCCAGTGGCTGTGAGCCCCTTCTGAGAATTTGGGACTTGGACTTATTTTATGTTTCGGTAAGTAATCAGTGACACTAATTGCCATCCTGCCAACTATACGGATTCGTCAGGAGTCCATCACGAATCCTGATTTAGGATCCTGCTGACTGTACCAATTTCTTGTGAATGGGTGATTTAGATTGCTTAAAGAACCACCATCAAAGGTATTAACAAAGTTCCGTGGCGAGGCTCACCCTATTACTGTACTGCACAATCATTTAGGCAGTGATTCAAAGCTGCAAAAATCAAAATTACCAAGACAAAAATCAAAGTTATCATGCAAGGTTATGCACAATATCAGTCACTTACCAGAATCTGCTGTTGGTGAAAGGTCTCTCTGCCTCAAGGAGACCCCTTGAGAGGTGCCCAGTTCAAGAGGAGACCACCACTGTGCAGTCAGGCTGCTTGGTAAGGAGAGCTCAAGGAAGGCTCACTTAGGCTGCCATATTTATGGAATAAAGTGGTTGTCTTGTATTCAAATAACATGCAAAGAAGGTAGGCATGACACTCCTTGTACCCACAACTTTGTTCCTTGATAAATGAGTCCTGGAAAATCCACCAGCTATTGAAGTGTTAGTCTCATGATCAGTGTTCCAAGCTCATACATGTCGATGCTCACTGGGTCACTCTGCTCCTCTCTGGGTTTTCAGAGAACAGATTGGAACTAGAGAAGTTTTTGGTCCAGTTGCAGCTCAGGAATTTGCCTTCCTTGGAGCCTCTACCAAAATACACTTCTTTGGTTGAGGAGTCGTCAACATCCATCACAGCCCCAAAGTCCACTGACAGAAATAATCAGGACCAGATATTTCCATATCAGACCAAATCAGTCATTTTAAAAAAAATGATGCTACTTTTATGTGGATGAACATTTCTGAACTGTCAAATACCTTGAAAATCTTTCAGAGTATTAGAAATTGCTCTTTATTAATTGATAACAACATTGTGTGATGCAGCATGAAACCATATGCCTCTAAAATGTTTTTGCCTGTCAAATTTATATTTCATCTGCTATAATGCTATCAGTGTTTTAGCAGAAAAACAGCCAAAATTTAATTATTGTGGGAAAGAAAAAATAAAAGTAAAATTTTCTACAGAGCCACCTGAGACAACACCATCTGACATTTAAATATTTTTAAGACTGTATTATTGCTCTTGTGGAAGAACCAGATGAAAATCAGGAAGGACTTGGAGCTCTGGATAGGTCCACTGGCATTTTTGCACTCATGAATGCCCATTTGATGTCCAGGGAGGAAGTTGGGAAGGAATCACATAGATATTTCTCCTTGAAAAAGTGGAATCTACCTTACCTGCAAGCTCCACACAAATACCAATCTGCCTTTGCTTCACACACCCCTTAAAGTCTCTGTTATTTAAATTTTCTTCTGAAAATTTAATCAGCTAATACAAAACCATGCCCATTTTTTATCTTCCAGTCACTCCAAGCACTCACATACATTCTCGTTTCTGTTTACCCCCAGTCCTGACCTAAAAAGTTGGTTTAGAATAGGGTAAAATAGAAGTAGCTGGAGATTGGAACAGACTTACTGATTAATCTCTGTGTGGTTCACTATAAATTGTTCTGAAAAACACAATGTAAATCACATTTAAAATGTCAGAATTGGACTACGTTCAAGATAGTATTAGACTAGAAAAAGACACTATTTTAGCTGGAGAATGCCTGGAAGGATATGGACTGATCTCTTTTGACCCAAGTAGCAGAATCAATATTTAATGATTTGGGGAATTTGCTGGTTCAGCGGGGAAAAAAATAGTAGAACTGTTGCATTTCTGTTTATTTATTAAAAATGTACAAAATTCCACCTTCTTGAGGAGATAATCCAGTGAGACTTGCTTTCATGTTTACAGCTCCAAACTTTATTCAGCTGCCACATTAACTCAAAAACCCACTTTTTGAATCTGTTGTCGAGGTCAAACCCAGGTGTTGCTCAGGCTGTACAAAAACATCTGCTGCCTCACTCTTCCCTGTGAACAGCCTGTCATCCACACCAACACATTCACTCATAACCCGTCACAAAACAGTGCAATACATGGAAAAAAATCCTCAAACAAGAAATATTGAATTTTTTATGATATCCTACAGTTTTCTTTGGCTGTGGAAAGGACTGCATATATCTTATGAGTGTTTTAAATGAAAGTTAAACCCAAACAGTTTAAAAGCTTTAGTCCAACCTTTAAATATAGGACAGACAAGAGCAGGAGAACATTTCCTCTGCAAGCCAGTAAGTTATTTGTCAAAAACAAAGCCAGAATAAAATTATCTTCTAAAGAGTTAGATTGTCAAAGTTGGATACTAAATTCAGTCTGAATTCACTCAAATGTGAAAAAATGGAATTTTAGTACTGCTTTAACTGTATATTTCAAGCAACCAACCATCTTTAACTGTGGCACCTCTTCTGACATCTCCATAATGTGTAAGCATGTGCATAAGTGTATATACAAACTAGGTTTATTATTGAGTCTAGACAGTGGAAAAAAATGCTCTACTGTCATGAAATTCAGTTGCATAATGGAAAATTCTACAAACAGCTGGGATTTGCTCTTCAAAAATATCCCACACTCTATTCAAAGACACTTAATCCATTTTCAAAGATAATTTTTCAGTTTTCTTATTTCACACTTTGCTAAGATACATGAACATCTTTGGCTTTTTCCCTCCTCCCTCCTATTGTAAAGTTCTGGTGTTACATTCAACTTCTTACCTTCTTTTCCTGGAGGTGATGCTTCCACCCTGGGCATCTCCGAGTAATGCCAAAGAGAGAATTACCAGGGGCTGCATAATATAGGGACAAACTATTTCACAGTTGAACAGATCTAAGCTCTCCGGGCAAGAAGATAATAGAAGTTATGGCTATGAGGTGTCTGGGTTACTCCTTGGGGGGCAAAAAAAATCCATCTTTACCCAAAGGTGAAGGAAAATATAGCAAACTACGGCAGAATACAGTTGTATATATAACCCTCTCATGCAACTTTTACTCCTGTGATGAAGGGAAGAGCAGAAGGAGAGAGAGACACAGTGAAAATAAATGTGTCTTACTAGATCATACATTATTTGATCTGCTATGGTGATCTTCCAAGAAAGAAGTGAAAAATCGGGTTTACAGTAATTCACTACAGAAAAGAAAATTGCCTTTATCTCCTTGCTAATTTACTTACCAAAATTAATGCACAGACACTCTAATTTTATAGCATGAAATACCTTAGAGCACACTGATAAGCTCTACCCATATTTTTTTTACAGTTTGCATACAAAGGCTATCAATGGCCTTATGAAAAAGGTAAATTGGAACAAACATTCTGTACAGAGAGCCCTGCAGCAATAAAGCAAGATATATTCACCCAGATTTTCTTTCTAGTAAATTAATATAAGTCTGATTTTAATTTAGTTGTGTTGTAATATATCAAATGAGTCTGTCCAGGTATGGTAAAGAGGTCCAGGGCTGCTAACTCAGCCTCTGGAAG